AAAGGAAAGGCAAACACAAAGGAAAGGAAAGGGAAAAGGAAAAAACAGAAAATGAAAGGAAAAGGAAGAGAAAAGGAAAAGGAAGCAAAAAGGAAAGGGAAGGGAAAAGAAAAAGGAAAGGAAGGGAAGAGGGAAGGGAAGGGAAAAGGGAAGGGAGAGAGGAAGGGAAAAGGGAAGAGAAAAGGGAAGAGAGAAGGGAAGGGAAGGGACAGTGGGAGCTGCTCGACGTGACCCCCATGCTCACTGTAAGGAGTCTCTGTGTTCCTCAGGGAGGAGCTTTCTATTTCCTGGAGCACGTGGCTGCTGAGCATTCCAGCTGGAAGTATTTTTGGCAGCAGGTCTGCTATCCAACTTGGAAACTCATCTTTGCCGGCTGCTGCCTCACGAGAGAACTATGGAAGAATCTGGAAGAGGCCAAGTTCTCTGAGCTGAAGATACAGCACATCAGTTTGTCGCTGCCCTGGACACCTGTCGAGCCACACATTGTGGGCTATGGGGTGAAGTAACTCTGTCCTGCTGCTCCCTGTTCCCTGAGGCTCCTATGACCCACACACCCGGAGTGGCACAGGCTGATCCACACCTCTGGGATACAGGATGATCCATACCACACTGGGATATAGACTGATCCACACCCCTGGGATACAGGATGATCCATACCACACTGGGATATAGACTGATCCACACCCCTGGGATACAGGATGATCCATACCACACTGGGATATAGACTGATCCACACCCCTGGGATACAGGATGATCCATACCACACTGGGATATAGACTGATCCTCACCCCCTGGGATACAGGCTGATATATACCCCCTGGGACACAGGATGATCCACCCTCCCTGGGATACAGAATGATCCACACATCCCTGGGATACAGAATGATCCACACATCCCTGGGATAGAGAATGATCCACCCTCCCTGGGATACAGAATGATCCACACATCCCTGGGATAGAGAATGATCCACCCTCCCTGGGATACAGAATGATCCACACATCCCTGGGATAGAGAATGATCCACCCTCCCTGGGATACAGAATGATCCACACATCCCTGGGATAGAGAATGATCCACCCTCCCTGGGATACAGAATGATCCACACATCCCTGGGATACAGAATGATCCACCCTCCCTGGGATACAGAATGATCCACACATCCCTGGGATAGAGAATGATCCACCCTCCCTGGGATACAGAATGATCCACACATCCCTGGGATAGAGAATGATCCACCCTCCCTGGGATACAGAATGATCCACACATCCCTGGGATAGAGAATGATCCACCCTCCCTGGGATACAGAATGATCCACACATCCCTGGGATAGAGAATGATCCACCCTCCCTGGGATACAGAATGATCCACACATCCCTGGGATAGAGAATGATCCACCCTCCCTGGGATACAGAATGATCCACACATCCCTGGGATAGAGAATGATCCACCCTCCCTGGGATACAGAATGATCCACACATCCCTGGGATAGAGAATGATCCACCCTCCCTGGGATACAGAATGATCCACACATCCCTGGGATAGAGAATGATCCACCCTCCCTGGGATACAGAATGATCCACACATCCCTGGGATAGAGAATGATCCACCCTCCCTGGGATACAGAATGATCCACACATCCCTGGGATAGAGAATGATCCACCCTCCCTGGGATACAGAATGATCCACACATCCCTGGGGCACAGGCTGATCCACACCCCCTGGGATACAGAATGATCCACAGGTCCCTGGGATACAGAATGATCCACCCTCCCTGGGATACAGAATGATCCACACACCCCCTGAGATACAGAATGATCCACACCACCTGGGATGCAGGTTGATCCACACCCCGTGGGACACAGGTTGATCCATACCTCCCTGGAATACAGACTGATCCACACCCCCTGGGACACAAGGAAGGACAAATCAGGGATGAAGCGTCAAGTTTCCTGGATGTCTCTGAGTTTCCAAATTGTTCAGGCTGGAAAAGCCCTTTTGGATCATCGACTCCAAGTGTTCACCAGCACCGTGTTCACCACTAGCCACATCCCCCAAGTGCCACATCTACTCCTCTTCCAAACACTTCCAGG